CCCAAAACCCCAAAACCCCAAAACCCCAAAACCCCTCGAGAGAACACAATTAATGAATTCATCTTATTTTCTTGAAATATTATCTTTTGTAATTATTTCTGATTCTTTGACTTTTGGGAAAGATACTCTTGATAAGTGGCCCTGTTGGCTCCAGTTGATAGAGTAAATACAGAATCTTGCTTCTTCTCTAGGTCTTTGAAGGTGACATTGTATTTCAAGAGCAGCTGTTTGTACTTCGACTCAAGGAACTCGTATCTCTTTTGCTCATTTTTGACATCATTCATAAGTGCCTTGTTTGCATGCTCTAATTTTTCAGTTCTAAACTTGAAATCCTCAATCTCTTCTTCCTTCTGAGAAAGGGTTTGAAGCTCTTTCTCAAGATTGGCGATTTCATCCTTCATTCCTCTGCTTGTTGGATTCTTATCTTTCTTGAATTTGGATTCTTTCTTGAGTTTCTCTAATTCTGTCTTCTGTGAGTTGATAACCCTCTTGAGACCCTCTATGACCCTTTCAAGCTCGGGAGCTGATCTCTTTGACTTTCCAGGAATCGAGGCAAGTTCTTTTTCTAAATCAAATCCTTTACCCTTCGCTTTAGCTTTCTCTTGCATTTCTGGTGGGAGTTGTGAGTACAAGTCAATGTAGTCCTCCAGGTCGCTAATCTTCTCATTCAATCTCTGTAGTTTGAGGTTATGATTCTCTCGTTCGAATTTCATGTCTAGGTACTTATGCTCACTCTTCAGGATTTCTTCATTAAGGAGAGCTTCGTTCTTTTCGAGCTCTCTGATTCTCTCTTCCATATTCTTGATATTCATTTGTTTAGCATACTCAGCTTCTTCATTGATCTCAAATTCTGTCTTAGCATTAGCAAGTTTATCGATCTGGGACTGGAGGGAAATATTTTCAGATTTGACAGAGCTCATATGCTTCTTAGCATTTTTAGCTTCATTCTCACACTCACTGATCCTGACTTTAGAATCAACCTCGATGAACTTTTCAAGCTCTTCATTCTTGTTGGCTAAGTATTCAAGTTGTCTACCCAAATCAAGGATCCTTTCCTGCTGCTTGAGCTGCTGTTTAAGTGTCTTGGCACTGGCTGGACCTCCTTTGATGCCATCCATCCGCTTGAGCTTCTCTTTAGGATCCATGAGTTTATCTGAGAGAACATTTAGAGATTTCTCGTTCTTTTCAGCAATAGCTTTCCAATCTTCGGCATTCTTTTCTGCGATTTCAAGCTCTCTTCTTGCATCTAAGAGTTGATTGGTCAGGGATTGCAACTTGGTATGAAACTTCTTTTGTTCTTTCTCAGACAAATCTCCTCTTTTAGAAGTACCATCAGGTTTTTTCCTCAATGCAGAAACAGTTATAGGCTTAGATTTGCCAGAATCCTCTACCATTTTGGCAAATTTCTTTATGTCAATAAATTTCTCTCCACCTGAAGCAAATTTGATGAGTTCTTCCATATCGTTGCCATCAAGTCCAATTCTGAGCTCTCGCATAGCTCTCATGAAGTCATAGGTATCAATGACGCCAGACTTGTTCTTGCTGCTCTTAGTAAGCTCTTTTTGTATATTAATTCCTTTATGCTTGACGACATTGTTAAGTCTTCTCAGAATGACATCTTTCTTTGCTTCCTCTTGAGCAAGCCTTGTGATATTCTCCATGAAATGATCTGGGTTGAAGTACCCCTTGTTCCGCTTATCAGCCATCTGGGTGATGTAATCTATATCGTCATGATGCACCCCTCTTGTGATCTCTTGGATCGACTGCCGCAAGATATTTCTGTGGATAACTCCATCCTTATCGTTGTCGTATAGAGAAACTTGCTTGCCAAGTTTGTCAAGCAGGTTGTTCTTTTGGTATATCCTTCGAAGAGCTGCCCTAGCATTGTCTTCAATCTCTTGATCTTCTTTATCACGGAATTCGTCTTTACTAGCTTTGATCATCAAACCAAAATGAGGATCTGCACCTTCAGATCTTGGAAGATCTAGCATATGCTTGAAGTAATTGAGTGTTATTTCCTCGTTGTTATCTGGATTCAAGACATTTTTTAACTCAACTCTCATATTAGTCTTAAACTCTTCAAGGCCATAGGCATTCAGTAATTCATCAAATTGTGGGAATGTAAGTGCTCCATCATGCTCCCTGTCAAGTCTGGAGAATTCATTGTCAATATTCAGACCTTTAGTCTCTTCAAGTTTATCCTCCCTGGCATCTCTGGAGTACTCTCTTCCTTTCTCTTCAACTTCAGTTTTGGTTTTCTTCATCATCTTAGCGATTGCACCTGCTTTAGAATCATTGATAAACTTTTGACAGTCCATCAGAGTCTCATTCTCTTGTAAAGTGTATTCAGAAAAGCATTTGTCACTCACAGCTTTGGGAAGATCTGGAATGCAAGAATCGAGTCCATCTAAAAGTTCTCTTCTAGTCACCTTGTTCTTGAAATTCTTGTCAATTTCATTCTGCAGTTTGTCGAATGGAACATCATTCTTGATGAGTAATTCTGAAATTTTGGCAGTACATTCTGGGATGAATTCTATCTGATTCGGTCCAGTTGTGATCTCGACTACTAAGGGTCTGTATCTTGCTAAGTCTTCATTCTCTTCACTCTTTAAGCAGTTGAATAAAAGGTCAACCTCTTCCTCATAAAGATCGATTCCTAATCTTTCGAGAACCTTGGGGAAAAGGTCTTTTTCCATAAATCCAGAGCGATTGTAATCAAATGTCTTGAATATAGCAGGAACAGTCAACCTGTTATTAATTTTAAGCCATTCCTTAATTTCATGTACAAGATCTTGGACGCTTTCACAAGGCCCACTCTCACTTAACTTCTTTGGTTGGCCAATAAACTCAAATGCTTTATTCTCACTATTATAAGCAATCACAGGATTTGCTTGCGACTTAAGCAACTTATTCTCTCTTTGAACTTGCTTCATCATTGTTCGGAGGTCGAGGTTTGTACCAGAAGGTTTATCCTCCTTGCTTTCCTCTTCACCTTTCTTGATCTGGCGTAATTTTCTCTTAAACTCGACTCTTTCCCTATCAAATTGATCAGCCAATTTCTGCTTCATCTTTAGTCCTTGAGTGACTTCTTCTTGTAACTCTGTCTCTCTTTCTTTAAGCAGGAGGATTTCTTGCTTCATCTTGTTCTTATCAGCCTTATGATTGTTATTGATCTGCTTAACAGATACTAGTTTAGACCTTTCCTTATCCAGTGCTGATTCTAACTCTTTAATCTTGAGTGCATCTAAGCTGGGGTCCTCCTTCTCCTGTAATTTAGCCATCTTAACATCCTCAGAAGTGATACCCTTCATCTTTTCTAATTTTTGCAGCTTTATTGTGATGTCTTCAATGGTCTTCTCGAGTGCCTTTTCTACCTTCTTCCTAGATTGTAGCTTTTTATTCAAGGTAGCAATCTCTCTACGAAGACTGGCAACGTTCTTGTTCTGGTCATATGTCATCATATCTGTGTCCCTGACTCTTCGAGAGAGGTTATCCTCATCCTTTGCTTTCTTAAGATAGTCAAATTTCTTTTGAAGGGCTGTAATGTCATCATCTTGTTTTGCTATAAGTCCATCTTTCTCATTTAATAAAGCTATAAGCTCGGTTCTTTTCTTAGCATCATACATTCTGGTCTCAAACTTAACCTCAGTCTTATGAGGATGGAACTCAAGATCTGTTTGAGCTTTTCTTGCGTCATTAAGCTCATGAGTGAGCCTCACTATTTCTCTAGTATCTTCTTGTTTTTGTAAATTCATTCTTTCTTGGATATCTTTGATGATATCTTCTTTCCTCTTAATTTGGGCACTCTTATTTTCAACCATTTCTTGAAGCATTCTGATGGTCTTATGAGCAGCCTGAGTGATCTCTTTTGTCTCATTCTCATGCATTTGTTCTACTTTAGCCTTGTTTGAATCAATGACATCCTTGATTCTTTCATCCTCGCTGAGGAGGTTATCCTCAATCTGCCATTCCCTGAGCCTATCAAGTTGTTTTTCCTTTGAGATAACCTGAGCTCTTAGGTTTGAAATTTCATCCTCTTGGTTTCTAACCTTAGCTTGCATAATTCGAACATCTGCCTTCTTTACAACGAAGTCGCCCACTGGAGGTGTTGTGAGATCTTCTTTGCTATATTTTGCTCTGACTTCAGTATCATCAACATATCCTTTGTACCTGCCTTCTGTCTCAAAGTTAGTGAATTGGGCATCAAAGAACTTCTTTTGCCTAACATTGTCAGCCCTGATCCATTCTTCTTGCTTTCTGTGGAATTTAGACTCAATTTCAGCTACTTGATCTTCAAGCTCAATAATGTCTCTCTTCTGTTGAGCGATTCTCTTTTCGCTATAATTAGCTCTTTCTTGCAGTTCCTCAGCTTCTCTTTTACTCTTAAGTTCATTCTTTCTCAAGAACTGAAGTTTATCAGCCATTTCGATGATTCTGTCTGAGATTTCAGAGTCAGTAGCGTTCTTCATCATGTCAAGCATATCTTCAGAATGTTCTAGCCTTGCTTCGTATTCTGCCATTTTATGACCCATCGAGCTCATTTCGGAGTAAATTTTGATGTATTTCTCTTCAGCATCTGCTTTTTCTTCAGCAATATTTTGGAGATCACGGCTAATTTCCTCGGCTCTGGTCAGACTGATACTTCCAGCTCCCTTAGACTCTATTTCTTGTTTGAGATGCTCAACTTCTAAGGCTCTGTTTCTAAGATCCTTCTCAGTAGAGTGCCTTGCCTCTTGCTCATTGTAAAGTCTGCCCTCTATTATTGCATATTCATGTCTGAGAGTGCGGACATCGTTTAGAGTGTAGTCATATTTCATACCAACAGCTGCCTCTTGCCATCTACTGAGCATCAAGATGTAGTAGATTCTACCAATCTTGTTCTTATCAATCGAGGTAGATTGCAACTCTCTAAGAGCATACAGAAGATTCTCTTCCTCATCTTTAGACCTTCTGTTTGCTAATTTCAGAGTTTTAGCTTGTCCAGATGCTACATCAAATAAGCTCTTATAAGAAGACATTGCTGCCTGGAGATCAACTATCTGCTCTTGTTGTCTCTCTGATCTCAGAACTAATTTTCCAGCATCTTCCTTGTTCAGGGTACCGATCTTTTCAACATGATAGGCGTTTTCTTTGTGTAAAAGATCTTGGTATCTCTCATTGACTTCAAAGTACTTCTTTTCAAGCAGATCATAGTCTCTTTCCCAATTGATCTGGGACTGCTCGCTCTTCTGGAGCCTTTCTCTGTACATCTCTTCCTTCTTCTCTGATTGTTTTAGCCTTGATTCTACAATTGTCAGTTTAGTAGCATTCATAATATCAGGTCTGTTTAGGAAGTCTGAATCTCTAGGCTCGTGGGCTCCGCTATTAAAGACTCTTGATCCCTTAACCTTCTTCTGATCATTCAATGCTTGAAGAGTTGTGAGAGGAGTGTCAACTATTCTCCTGAACTCAGTTTCAAATTCATTGTAAGTGATCTGGCCAGAGCCATCGAAATCTAATTCCTGGAAAATAACATCAAGTTCATCATCAGTGCATACAACACCAGTACTGTCGAAGAGGTTTCTGAGTTCAAGGAATGTAATGGATTTGCCTCCATCAGTATCGATTTTGTCAAAGGCTTCTCTCAAAGTGATATCTCGTTTCTCAAAGACTTTATTAAGTCTGTCAAAGACTTCTTTCCATCTCTTGAGCATTTCGTTGGTCATCTCTGGCTTGTTGTTCTTCGAGTGATAAACATCATCTTCTTCATCAAACCTGACCTTGAATCTGTTATAGATCCTAACGAAATCTCTGTAATTGATTCCTTCTTCTCTACCTTTCCAGAAGAGATTGAGGAATCTCTCTAAATCAGCATCATCGATATCAACTCTGGAGTTGTTAATGGTATCCTTGAAATCATGTCTGGAGATTACTCCTTTTCCTTTCTTATCCATGATGTCAAAGAGGTTGTCAAGGTCTATTTTGTGCTTCTTGAGAGCCTCGTCAATGACATAGACAATGTCATCTTCCTTAGATCTAATCATGACTCCGTGACGACCGCACTTCCTACAGAATTCTCTATAGTCAATGTAGCCGCTGTTATCAGGATCTATTGCTCTTTTGAGCATCTCTTTCTCCTTGTTGGTTAAATCTTGTATTCCCATATTATACAGACAAGACATAAACTCCTTGTCTGAGAGTTTTCCATTTTGATCTTTATCAAAGATCTCAAAAGCTTTCTGAGGTGAAAGTCTTAATTGCTTCATTCTTGCAATAATAGTGTTGAAGGCAGCATTTTCCCATTTAAAGGTTGGGTCTACGATTTCTAGCCTACTCTTTACAATTTCGAGCTCATTCTCAGCATCTATTCTGATCTCTTCATACAGCTTCAATTTTTCTCCTGATGCTAGGAGGTGTCTATTTTCAGTCTGGAGCTGAGAATTCGTGACTGCATGCCTATTGCATTTCTCCATCATATCAGCAAACTTTTGTTTATAAATGAATAATTCCTTGGACACATTCTGGTATTCTCCAAGTGGGACAGCATCTCTGAACTTTTCATACATAAACTTCATCTCACTGATGGCTTTGACTTGCCATTCCTTGAGCTTAGCTATTCTTTGGGCTGCGTATCTTTCTCTTTCAGTGAACCCTTCTTCAATCTTCCTGTAAGCCTCTCTGAGTTGCTTCTCCTGTTCTGAGATAATTCCATATTTCTTAGCAAGTTTGAAATTCTCTACCTCTAGAAGTGCCAATTTCTTTTGGAGGTTGACCAGCTCATTTGACATTGAATCTGGGTCAAGCTTGAGTTTCTTAATGGTCTTCCTAAGGTTCTCGTTGTGGATTTCCTTTTCACGGACATCATCCTTGAGCTTATCCATATCTGCCTCTCTTTCTTTCATCTTTTTGTTGAACTCTTGATGCTCTTCTACATAGTTCAAATAGAGCTGATCTTGCATCAGGAGGTATTCTCTAATCTTTGTGTATGCCCTACCAAGTTCATTTTTCAGCTCTTGGATTGATTTATCCTTCCGCTCATTGAGAGTGAACATTTCTATCAACTGGAGCTGCAGAGCTGGCACATCCTTAGGGTTGATAGACTCTGGAATTGGGATATTCAAATTCGTGCCAAATTTAGAAGAGTATCCTGATGAAGGACCTGTCTTTCTAGGAGGTCCCCATCTGTTGTAATCACTATCTGGAGCATAGTCATTGTTCGGCCCAAACTCTCCATCAGTGTTAGGTCTTATTGGAAATGCGGTCTTGTTTGACATATCACCCCATACCTTACTGACCATCCCGGAAAGTTGCTTTTTGTGATCTTTCTTCATATCCTCAAGGAATTTTCTCTGATCTTCAATTAATGAGCTGCCATCTTCACCTCTTGGTTGTGATCTGAAGAAGGTATCCTTGTTCTCATGGAAGAATCTCTCAAGTTGTTCTCTGATAGCTTTATACCCATGATTCTTGATTGTTTCTAACTCTTTAGTAAGTGCCTTGTTCTCCTCATTGAGCTCGAACCAACTTTTACCCTCATTAGTCTCTCCAGATCTTAGTCTCATCAAGAAATTAGAGAGTTGGATTCTTTGTTCAGGGCTAAGATCTCTCAATTCTTCAATTGATTTAAGACTTCCATCCAGTGCCATCTGTCTAATCTGTTCCTTGAGCTTGGCTCTTTCTTTCTCAAGACTTAAGTTATCTTGCTGGAGGATTTTCACTAATCTTTTGTATTCAAAGACAGTCTCTCTATCTTGAAGCTTGATGATACGCTTCTCAGGCTCACATCCCCAGTTGTCCGGTACATTGTTCATTTTTCTGAGGATTCTGTTCTCAGCAAGCACGTCTTCAAGATTATCGGAGAGTTCATTCAGCTGATCGAGCATTTTCTTCTTGTCTTCTTTAAGTAGTTTGATGTCCTTCATCTTCTGGGAGAAGGCTTCCTCACCAGTATTTCCTTCATAAAATTCATTCCGTTCAAGTAAATCTCTGTAGTTATCATCAGCATTGAGATATTTCTGGTTCAGGTCATCGTATCTTCTCTCAAGGTCCTAAAATCATTTAAAATACAGAAATAGGTAGTAAAATTTGGATTCGAGACATACCCTGTACATCTGGTTCTTCCTGAGAAGTTCTGCATGGGTCTTCCTGTGAGTGTCCTCCTGTTCCTGGATCCTCTCAGCCAGCTTCATCTCGACGATTTCATCCATTCTTTTAATGGCATCTTTTGTTTCGAGAATTTTGGCTCTGTACTTATCTCTTTCCTATAGGATTATCTACACTAGAGTACCTCTTGAATCTTGTACTTGATCTTCTGCTGCTCTTTTAGCTCCTCCTCGAGCTGAGCAACTTGGTTCTTTGAATGGTAGAGTAGCTTCCGCAGCTTCTCATTTTCCGCTGCGACTGACATCTTGCTTGTCATTCAAATTTAAATTATATTTATTTTAAACATTTCAACCTCTATAAGGTTTAGCGGGGTTTTGGGGTTTTGGGGTTTTGGGGTTTTGGGG